TGGATAGTCCATTAATCAAGGAAGGCTATAGGCTATAAAACATCTCGCTACGACCAACAGGAGTCGAACAGAGCGGGTGAAACCGCGCGCAAGTAGCTAGTATCACATATAACAAATTGTAGTTAAACTTATAGTTGACAGGTCATTCGTATAATCTGATGGCCACTAATGTAACGAACACTATTGGAATGGGACAGTCACAGTTGGCCGCCATCCATTAATTCCTCGCGCGTTCCTTGTCGGAACATTCACACCCCTTTCTGACCTTTAATTAACTGTCAAATTAACCTAGACTATTGTGTGTTTGACCAATAGGTTTATTCGTAGTTCTACGTAAATCTGTAAAATGTTATCTCTATTCTATGAATACATAGTGGTTTTTACGTTCTGTAATTTTTGGAAGAATTTAATATCCACACCGTTTTCATTAGCCAAAGGCAGAATTAAAATCAAGTTTGTATTTGTTTTTCAGTCCAATCTATTGTGAAGATTTCTGTGCCATAGGTACCCTAAAAATAACGTAGGTAAGCTCCCGTTAAGGTAATCTTCTTAACTTAGGTGATCATCTTAACTTAGGTTTCATCCTCCCAAGATGTTGCTTCTTTTTTAACGTACTTCGAACTGACACCTCATTTAACGAATAATCTTTTCAGTTAAGGTTATTTTTACGATATAAATGCACCCATTTTAGCTTCTATACTGATGAATAATAATTTCTAATAACATTTTAGTAATATATTTGTATTTCCATGTAAATATAAATAAATCACTAAAATTTTATTTCATGGACGTGATTTATATGATTATCTAGCACTTAAGTGAAGTATTAAATTGTAATTTGACGGTATTGAATCCCATGTTATATATTATTTTAATGGCTAGACCGTTACGTACACGTTACAATTCGTACCAAACTTTATTCACATGGTCATCTCTATCTCAGATTTCTCGCACCTCTGTGACGATTTTCTTTAACTTTTATGGTCGTATTTTTACGACTTTTACACTTTTAGTAGTGAACGCATTTCTATTTAAGCAGAGGAACCCAGTACCTTAAGTTATTTAAAGTTATCTAGAACACTCTCAATTCTAGTTCCAACACCCGTAAACAAGATTCTAATATCCTGAATGGATTATGAGAAGCAGATAGTCACAATTTACTATAAATAGTACACCTAGGTTCTAAACCGTTAAGTAACACATTAGTTATACATTATTTAAACAATAAGACAATTAAAATGAACGTTCAATTCTACTTACGCTGAGTGACTTAGGACTTGTAACATAGAAATAATAGCGATGTTAATAGGTGTTTTCCTTACGATACTGTTAGTTTACGGCTAGGTAAGATAACATATTGTGACAAGAGTGGCGTGAAAAGTGCAGGAATCTGTAATGCAGGTGCTACTAAAATTAAAAAATCTTACGTTCTAAGAGATCATTATAAAAGACTACTTTAAAGATGTTGTTACATCTTACAATACTTTTATTAAAGGTTTTCACTGGTGACAATGGTTTAACCTTTAATAGTTATAAGAAAAATAGAGACTGTGCTAAGCATCTAGACGCCATCTGATACTAATAATCATACTGGCGAAGTACAGCGTATCAAATATTTTTTATTCCACTCATCTCTAATGAGTAATAGTTGGCGTAGGTCCAGCGAATGTATTATCGTTGCAATTATAAATGTTTATACTAGAATGATATCGAGCATGACGTAAGAAACGCTCCGTGCAATGTACGTCTACGTACACTAAGACTAACATAACTTATAGACTTTTATCTATGGGTATAATTCCCATACGTAAGCTAAAAGCTACAGTGGCGCCACTCGGAAAAGTATCAAAATAGTTCTACGCGTCCCAGGCATCAATATACAAAGGGACTTACTGACTGTTACCTATATCTATCATACTTAACATGATAGAAAATGTTGGTCGTTCAAAGGTAGTAAGACCACAGAACATATAAGCTAAGACTATACCCAGACTCAACAAGCCCTCTTGAATAAGTCTAAAAAAATTGCCTGCTATGTTTATTTATGAACCTTTTCCCGTATTAAAAGTACATTCTCGTTTTAATTATTATTGCTGTTTAGGGATTGCTCTACATCAAAGACATTTACGATCTTTTTAATGAATATTCGTGACTGAGAACTTTATACGATTTGTTTTATGAACGTAGTTTATGAAACATTGTTACAGCAGAACGGGCACAGTTCCCCATATCAAGTACTCGGTTAATTTAAATTGAATCGATATTTTTTCAAAGTTATCGCGATTATAATGCGGAATGTTTCTACGATGTCATCAACCTTTCCATGATTCATACCAAACAACTATAAGTGGATAGTTATCGATATATTTTTATCGATATATGGTCAGCTAGATAAGTAGCTATCACTGGTATTCATTTCTTATGGCTCCCGTTGTAATTAGTAATAAATATTTACTAAGTCTCGCGTAACATATGTATTAGGGTTTGTGCACATTGATCGTAAAATAAAGGATTCTAGAAATAATTCATACTTTGTTTATGTTAGTAGAGTACTAACCTGACCGTTTGTGGTGATAAAATTAACCTAAACATGTGTGGGATTTCATAACTCGACGGTTACGAGTATAATTATAATTTGTTTTGTCTAGTATGCTTGTAAACGGAATTTCGGAGTACAAGTTCACATTTTAGTGAAGAACTAGCTATCCTGTATATTAAAGGGGGCCCCCTTTATTGACATAGCGATATAAATGATGCATAGCAATCGGTTGACGGGATTTTTAATTAATCTACGCGTAGTAATGTAGACGCACCCCATGCAATGTTACCGTCTATTGATAATGGCGTGTGGTTTTATTAAATGCATAAACTACTGTTATATCAACGGGTAACTTGTTTGCCTGGTTCCGCTGTGTTAACAGGAAAGGGATAACGTTTATATTGTACATTTTTATATTAAGTAGGTACCTACGTACCTACGATCCTTTATATATTTCATTGTGTGCAAATAAATAGCACGTCTCTTTCGATAATATCATAGGATATAAATTATTTCTCTAGAATCTGTTTTCTGAGAACTTTAGACGTTTACTATTAATGGATTCAATAGTTAGTGTAAGAAGATTGCTCCTTATTTCAGGCAGGTGAATGAAACCGAACGGACTACCACCTGACCTGTTCCCAAGGCCACAATCCCTCCTACATAATTCAGTGTTTACGATAGATACTATCGACATTCTGTACCTACTGTTAACTACTTCGTAACATTGTCGCATAAATAATATATTAGCTGAAAATAATAATATAGCAATATACATAAGTAAAAAAGCTATTATACTTTGAGGGCTATTGAAATTTTTTATGCAGTTGTTTTAATAATGCCTTTATTTTTTTAACCCACATCATAATTCTTAATGTTCTTAATTTGAATTTGAAAGTCTTGTAACAGAAATAAGCACGAAGTATAAGGGCTCGTACACAAAACTGCGATGCGATGCGAATTCGCAACGCAAAAATTTACGATGCGAATTGCTGCGATGCGATTTCGATTTTTAGGGAGACGCCTTGTCGCACGAAATCGCATCGCATCGCAGTTTTGTGTACGAGCCCGAAGTCAACAAATTCACCCATATACTATTGTTAGCTGAATGGGATATGCATACGTTCAATTTTTGGTCGTAACAATCAAAAATTGAACGTATGCATATCCGTAACGTAACGATCCACTCCATTTATACAATTATTTCTTGTACAATGTTTACGATACCACGATCGAAAGTATCGATTGATTAGAAGAACGTTCATTGAACATAATTTTTACGATTTTTATATTAACAGTTTATAAACGTGTACTTTGACGTCATCGAACCAGACGATATCTTGAAGAATCATCAACTCTTTTTCGTAAAAATAATTTCTTAGCTTCGCATCTAATCTGACTTGGATCAGGTGCTTTAGTTGCATTGCCTAAGATAAAGAAGTAGCCTATTTGTCACAGAGTCACAGCAGATTTCAATAACAGATTAAACTGAGTAACGAATATCTATAAAACCTTTCATCTCTATAATATTAGAAGTATAGCTAGTTTTGAACACTAAATGACAAGGTGAACTTCGTAAATCCGCTTCGTACATGACATTTTAGCTTCAAAAACAATGCTGTTAATATTCAACTCGCGATCAGAAACAAGGCCATAGCACATTCACTAATAAATTGAATAAAATCTTAGATGAAGTGATGAGCATGTTCGTGATTGGATCTAATTGTTAAACAACGTCATATGGTATAGTTGGTACCAATGTGACTTAATATTGTGTTATCTTTAGTAGTCAGTATTTCGGCAACCAGATACGTTTAATTAAAATCTCCATCATCTTCGTCATTATCAGTCAGTAGATGTCTAGTGTCTACTGATAGATAAAGGGTTATCCCTTTCTCCAATTGTTTGTTAAATATTAACAAATACACTGTCTGACTGGTCAACTTTCATTCAAAGATAACACATTATACTTCATAGTCTTGAAGTATCCATCTTTTTGACATGTATTACGATAGGTATACCTACTTTTGCATGGGATATGTTAAGTACGAATCGGATCATAAGTATCTGATCTGTTTATTTTATGTTATTTAATTTAGATGACTTTGCCGTATCAAAGTGATTGCGAAATCTCAAACAGCTCTTAACTTTAAAATGTTATTGATAGTATCTTGCGCTGCACGTTGCACCTTGAAAATATGATATTGCGTAGTTTGGCATGCATGCTCTTTTAGGTAGATGTACTTTTAGATTTTAGAAAGCTTTGTTAATACCTGCTTTGATTTGCATATCACAGAATGCATACATTATATCTATACATACACATTTATTTTTATACTTATACCTACAAGCTATAACTAACTCACGAAACTTCACAGATTTATTATTTTCGCCATATTTGACTTGCTTGCTACAAACTTAAAGTTTGATAGAAATTGTAATATTTGAATGGCTTTTTCAGATATGTTCGTTAGCAAAGCAACTCGACATGACAGAGAGGCAGGTGGAACGATGGTGGAGATTAAGAAGAAGCCAGGATAAACCTTCGACCCTGGTGAAGTTCTGCGAGAACATGTGGAGGTTTACATTTTACTTGTACAACTTCTCCTACGGTCTCTTTATATTATGGGAGAAGGAGTGGCTTTGGGATATCGATCAGTGTTATATAGGATATCCACATCAGGTTAGTAAGGATTTATTTTATCTGATGAACTTTTTGTTGATTGCATAAATATTAAGAAAGAAAAAAAAGAATTTACAAAATTTTAAGTATCTTCTTGAAGTATAGGGCCTCTCCAATAGCACAGTACACTATTGAGCTAGATTATTAACTCTTCGTATTCAATCTCTGCCAGTTACTTCGCCTGGTTTGCCTAGGCGAACAGTTTTGATAATCTCCTGTGGGTAATAGAAGCTAGGAATAATACCATCAAGCTCAAAATTAGACTCCAATTAGGGCCATTCAAACCAGCAATTTCTCATACTTTACGTCTTAAACATGCAACCAATTCTTTTAACAACTATCCTCCTTCAAATAGCCCACCTTATAGTACAGATTGTCAATAATTATCGCTTCAACGCAACGTAACTCGGAGGCTCGGAGCTTGAATAGCGCAGCACGAGTAGTACTAATGGATGACGAATATTAATTATGTAATATTTAACGAGTGTATGCTAGATACTTGAAAGAGGTGTGCCTGCCTAGTATTTCGACATTCTTAGTGTAACACACGTAAATTAAAGAATCACGATTGTTTCTCAAATGGTTGAACTGGGCTATAGTTTTCATCACCTGCTGCACTTTCCGCGGGGGACGTAAGAGCTAACTGATAGGCTGCACGTTTGACAGAAACAGGGAAACAATAGTCTCTGATAAATCTAACCCTTTCAAATTGTGATCTTCAAACCGCCAGATTCCGCGATAATCCTAATTTCTTCCGAGGAGACCCGTAGCCCCGAAGAATTTTTGCATATCTTTCGTTGAAATAGGTTTTTTGCATTTAAATAATCCAAAAATATTTCTCCATTATCTCCTTCATACGGAATGTCGTCCCACGATGCCTATGCCTACATAAACAATCGATATGTAGATTAACGGTTTAGTTAGGTTAGTAACTAAGTTTTCCTGTAATAGACAATGCTCATCAGAGCATGGTTATCAACAGGTGCAAGTTATCGTTCAGATAGATACAATCTGCTTAGGTATTACACGCGAAAAATTATTTATCACATATAATAAATATTTACAAACAATGTGCGATTTATTTACCTAATATAATTATGTAATTGTTTTTGAGTAGGTACCTACTACTAGGCTTTTAATAGTAAGAACTTTACGCAAGATTATTCTATCGTTTAAAAACTTTTCTTTAAGACTGAATTCAAACGCGGTTATACTTTTGCATACAAGTCCCTCAGGATCGTATTAAATGTCGTACAAATATTTGTTTTATGGGCGAATCGGACACGCGATACGTTGCGCAGCAACCGATTATACTGACAACCGAACAAAGTATTGTCCTGACCTGAAATAAAACCAGAATACATTGTTACCACAAATAAGCATAGGCATAGCTCTTCCTTAATTTGAGTGCTTTTAGACTAAAAGTTTTAGTCCTTTTTATTACGGCATCAATTTTGTCGTTGAACGTAAACTATTACTGTTATCTTGAACGCCATCATGGAATAATGAATACCCCTGAGAGTAATGCGACAGCGGAAACCTTTTCGCGCCATTGTGTGCCTGTCTATGATTGACCAATAGATCTTCTCGGCCTAACGGGTCATTTAGGAAACAAAAAGAGTTTAGAATTTTAGACGATGATGCAAATCATGGGACATGTACATTATTTTGAAAGATCAAAAAAGAATGAAATTTTATAGGTACTTCTTTACTACGTACCTTTTCTTTGCTAGGTTTCGGTTATTTCATAAAACTTACTCTCTTACTAACATTTACTTTCCTATCAATTCCAGGGTCTCACCAACGACATCTGGTGGTACTATATGATATCAGCAGCGTTTTATTGGGCGCTGACATTCTCTCAGTTCTGGGACGTGCGTCGCAAGGACTTCTGGCAAATGTTCGTGCACCACATCGCCACCATCCTACTGCTGTCCTTTAGCTGGGTCTGCAACCTGCACAGGATTGGGACACTCGTGCTCTTAGTCCATGACTGTGCTGATATATTCTTGGATGCAGCGAAGGCGGCAAAATACGCCAATTATCAACGATTGTGCGATAGTATCTTTGCTGGTTTCACTGTGTTATGGATCGTTTCAAGACTCGTTGTTTATCCGTTCTACATTATTTGGAGGTGAGTGTTGCTTTTTATCATTTTAAAAGTTTTTGCATACATTAAAGTTAATTAATATTGTCATTGTGTCTTACGAAAGTGTTTTTAGATTAATGAAATAATTTAAATGTTATACGATATTATACTTGTTCTAATCAAGAAACCGTTAATATTCATTAAGACGATATTAACAGTTAGTCTTTTATCATTATGACGAATTGCCTTTAAAATAGCTTATCTTTGGAAAAAAACTAGTATTATCTCATTTTGTGTATTTGTAATACCATATAATAGTATTATACAATATAACGCATTTTAAAATTTTATACTTACGCCATTCAATAACCGTGAGAAACTTACCGAGATCCGGAGCCGCGGAGAACGTAACAGGTTGCCAGGGCTCCGGTTCGAAGTGCAGGAGTAGAAACTGGGTCGTTTTAGTCAGTAAGAGTCTGACACTCTCTCTCGCCTCACCCGACGGGAGAAGTTATTCGACGATTTTTCCCCCCTTAAACTGTCAAACACCAAGCGGTCACCGGTGACCGCAACCTATTGTTCTTTAATTGTGTCTATAAATACGGTACTCGACGAGTTAAGAAAAATTAAAAAATTTGTAGACCCACGTTGGGCGCCAATAAAGACTGACTTCAAATTGACTACAATTTTGTTCATTACATAGTTATTTTAGTTTCAGTTGAAAGTAGTTCAATGTTGAGGGGTCTGGTGATTTAATATTAAACAAATGAAACAATTTAAAGTTGACCTGTATTACTTATTGTTATTTCCAGTACATCAATCCGCGCACCCATGTTGCTCCCGATGTTCCCCGCCTACTACATCTTCAACTCGCTGCTGTGTCTACTATTAGGTCTACATATGGTCTGGACCTGGCTCATATTGCAGGTCGCCTATAAGGCTATTAGTGCTGGCCAGGTAAATTATAGTAGTTTTTCTAAAATATCTTATATCTTTTGCCTTTCCTCGTTAGAATATAGATTTTTAACTACATAATCCAATACTTTCCCTTAAATATATTTTTGAAAGAGTAACTATATGTATCTACAGTAGTTTAGATATAAAACCGTAGCAAAAATCTCATTATTGTCGTATGTATTATTATATTTCAGCGTTCATGTAAGTACCTCTTACATTTTAAGAGATTGTTATTATTAAACCCATCATATTCTGTGATACGAAGGTAATTCTTTTGTCAAACACCAGATACGATTTCAAAGTTTGCAAACGTTGATTATTTGATTATATGTACCTACTTTTTCCAGCATCAGCCATTACGACTAACTAACAATAAAATTATTGGTTCAATTTCCAGATGGAAGGTGATATCAGGAGTTCAAGTTCAGAAATAAGCGATAGTTCACATCAATCGAACCACAGCACGCCGAATCGTGTCAATAATAAAAAGTAAGTTGACAAACTTTTTACCGTACTACAATTGCAGTATTTGTTTTGTCGATCATCAAATTATACTTAGTAATGGCACAGAAGCCAAAAAGCACTGATCAGTGTTATTTCAACTTTATTGTAAAGCAGTAGAGTTGATAAATGAATTTGCTTTATTTACTGGTGTATAACCAAAAAACGACATTAGGGCGGAGAATGCAGAAATATGTTATGCGTCATCGTTGTCATTGAAGAAATCTATTAAATCTCCATACCACGGAGTAATAAACAATGGAATGCTAACTCGACATTTTTCCCCAAGTCAGACTCGTGAGATATACGCGAACCGCAGGAGGGACTCTCATTCGACGACCACACCAACGTCTTAGGGAAAGGTCTCGAAACCCGGTGCTAACCGGCAAGTGAAATAAAAAACGTTAGTGAGGTTCCCAGGACAAAAGTTACTGCCCTCTACCTGCATGACGCTTTTATAACGGCTATGACCCCGTGTGGATATTCTCATTGGTCGCATTATAATCGGCTAATAACCTCAATTTGATTTTTATTATAATTCTTATCATCGGTGAAGGCTTTGCTCTACAAACTTGCTTGCAGCAGGTTTCTAAAGATACAGGTGTTGAATTTAAAGTTTTTCTTTCATCATTTTAATAATTTTGATCCATTCTTTGTCAATCATTCCAGTAAAATGCAAGGTTGGTGTGAGCTTTGCGTTTGAATTTTGAACCCTATTTTTTATTAATTATAACAGACTTTAGCATGAGTTTTCTATGAAGGTGGCGGTGTGATGCCGATGCTTATTACCAGGGGATATTGACAGACTTGTAGAATATTCATCATTGTCATCACTCCACTAATAAAATATCTACTCTGTGACATAACCTCTAACCTTGGCTAAGTTGAGTATCTTTAATCGTTAATGCAGTAGAAAACGAAATCAGTTCAATAAACAATAGAATTAGTCATTCTTAATGACTAGAAGGAGCAAAAATAATTATGACTAATAATTATTATTTTTGTTTTTTAGTTTTTACCTTTGGCGTGTTTTTAGGTTTTGGTTTTCGAACGTTTTGTTAAACGCAGTTTTTGTTTTTATTTTCTTGCTTTTAGGTTTAGTACAAGGCTATATAGACCCGATATACTATTACTACGTATGTCCCACATTGGTGTAAAGTTCTCATCGTAACAAATTATTCAAGCTCAAACACCAGTTAAACGATGAATAGCAGCTATTAATCGTTTAGGAGTTCTCTTAGCCATTATACAACTTCATCATCAGACTCCTAATGACAATCACACCCCATTAAGTGTAAAGTTCTCATCAAAACGAATTATTAAAGCCCAAACACCAAGTAGCTACTGTCAGCCCTTGAAGAGTTCCCTTAGCTGTCATACTCCTTGATCATCAGGCCACAAATGACAATTACACCGCATTTAGGTGTAAAGTTCTAAGCAATACAAATTAATCAAGCCAAACACTAGTTGTAGTAGTTTTAAATACTATATATAAAAAAAAATGACAAACGCTCTCGCCGTCCATACAATTTTGAAAAGTTCCCCTCGGTTTTCATGGGAACCCTTTATTAGATCTTGACCTGGTGAAAATGGGACCACCCTGAAAGTATGACTTTCATTAAAAAATAATTATCATAATTCGTCTACAAACGCCGGAGAAATCCGGGTAACATACACACAACAAAAACCAAACAGCCGACGTGATAACCTCCTTTTTGGGAAGTCGGTTAAAAACTACTGGTTTTATTTAAGTTGTTTAAGTTTTTATCAGTTGTCAATACATCAATAAACATTTAGTTTTTCCTGTATAATATCATCATAGTTTATGGTATTCATTATTTCTTCTACATATGTAGACAAGAGCTAGAGAATTCATTTTTTTCTTGAGACGGTCAAGACCTATGATAATTTTTTATGCGTTCTATACAGGAAAATCTCCTTTCCCGAGAACAATTTGTAGCCGGAGTGGAAAGAGCAATGTGTAGAGCTATATTCAAGTTGTGATAAACATTGGACAGAGATTGATTTCTCAAAATAGATGAGAGTCGCATTGCTCTCACCTGTCACTCACTAGGTTTCGATAGGAATGAGTTTCTATAGGGATTTATATAAAGTATAAAAAAACATGATAAATCCAGTGAACGTGTTTTACTTTCATAGTCTGAAATCGAGTGACCGTCCTCTAAAATCTGCCGCCCGCCCCTAGGCCGCGGCCTATACGGCCTATTTATAAATCCAGCACTGAATGGAACTATCAATTTCAAAATACTAACATTAAAATTACCTCTTTGCAGAGAGACATAGGGTCAGCCCGACCGTCCAGGCGTTCTGCTCAGCGTCCGTGGCGCCACCTGGCGGCCACAAACATGACTACATGACTCATTAATATTACAGGGGGCCACATTTATATTCTGTATTTATAATTAATGGTGCCTTTTCTATTTAATTTTACGTCATCATCAGTCCGGAGACGTCCACTAAAGAACAAAAGCTTTTATAATCTCACATAGGTTGCAAGCTATGGGAAATATTAGAAGATGCTACTGTCGATAGCAATTTTTGAAGCAAATTTTGTATTATGCACAAATGTTGTTTTATAAAACTTATTCTGTTTGTTACGTAAAGTATGGTAGACCTGCTTTTTTAAAGCTGGGATGATTCAGAATAATTTATACTTAATAGTCGTTGTTGACTGCACAAAGCCTCAAATCACAGAATTCAAACTCGAAACTTACTTAAAATATTTCTCAGTAATGTGGCCCCAAAACGTTCGTCCTATTATGTTGTTCATTCATTCACGAATGAACGAAACGAGCTATATGTAAGTCCGTATTTATAATGAACACGTGAGATTTATAAGTATTGATAAACGTAAATATTTTCTAGCTAAGGATGCTATTATAATTATCGATAACGACCCTATATCGATACTTTTTATTTTATTTTTAAGCCCACAATATTCGATATTCCTTTATCGATAAATATGACGGCATCCCTATGCAGAAGAACAAATCGTGTATATTAGGAATCTGGTTTTAATTTATATATTTTATTTTTATCGTCATGATGGTACATAAAACTTAAGTACATAATCAACTTAAGATTCCTAATAAACGCATATAATTTATTGCTTACGCTATTTACAGAATGATTATCAGAAAATAGTAATTATAATTATTATTAAATAAGCAATACCAAACATTTAAAATGCTTTAATAGTCGAACAAATTACAAAAGTGACATTAAAATTTTGACTCCATGTTGTGAATTGAAAAAGTAAGTTTATATATAAAAACATATATGTGAATTGTTCTTGCGTAATTAAGTTACCAAGGTAGCAATACAAAGATGATTGATTTAAAATATAATATAAAAAAAACATACTAAAAATGCGACCCACAACGGTGCTGAGAACGTTAAGCATAGATTAAAAATGTAAGCATTTATTTTGTATTAGCTTAAGCGCTTTATACGTACTTATTCGTGGTAAGTGAAAAAGTATACTTCGCGATACGATAATCATTTTTTTAATTATCTTGGGTGATATTCAGTATCAGATATTTATTTTTAAATATGCTGTCTTGCAAAACTAAATTACAATGTCCCTATGTTATCTATGGATATGGATGACAGTTTAAATTAAAAAATGCCGGTATAAACCCTAGAATTTCGTGTGAACGGTCTAAATGTATGAGAAATTGATTTTCTTGTTGTATTATTATTTTAAGCTAATATTATTCCTTATTATCGTGTTCCTTTTAACCATTGCATTGAAAAACACACCTTAATATCAATGTAATTAGGTGTTATATTCTTTGTTGCCATTCTGAAAGTCACAATCCTTCTAATTAGTATCTTAAATCAATTGGTACTATTAGGTACTTCGTGTAACTGCGCTTCGCAAGCAAAAAGGTGATTAAAAATAAATAATTCTTAAGCTAGTATAAACTTACACGTATTAATAATAAGGTACATTATTTATTGGGGGACCATGCAGTTGGATCATATTGATTTATCGATATTTTGTATACTTTGCGTAAATTATCATTATCAATATTAGTCTAATGACCCGTAGGGTAGGTGAAATTACTTCCTAACTTTCTTAATTTTTCCAAAAAAAAAAAGATTTGCAAAATATTAATATATAAAATCAGATACTAGTCTGATGCTATTTATTGAAATAAATCATACATTACTGTTGTTAATGACGTTCCCCTATTAAAATTCTAATAGTAAAATTGCAATTGTGTATTACATGGGTTGTATACATAGGACTCCTTTAGTACTTATGTGCAGTGTGCTTCAATGCAATTTCATAGTTGAAGCTCTCACATAAATACTTACAATCAAACCAACTTACAAGTAATAAATTATCTATACAAGGTGTAGTTTTGAAACCGTGTCATTTCTCGGGGGCATGTTACAGAAGTCATAAAGGTTCAATGTAAGAGAAAGTTTCGGGCCAATAGTTAAAAATACGGCTATAATAAATCGTTAAAGTTAGACAGTATTTCAGAATAAGCGACAGCAATGTTTCTTATTGGTGTTTTATAGAATTAGGAATAATATCAGTTACGTGTTTGAGTTTGTCTGTGTTAAGCCGGGTTATAAAACTAGTTACAAGACGGCGGCGTGTAGTTCGCACTTACGGAATTCCGTAATTTACAGAAAAAATTAAAAATATTTATCTACAATTTTTTTTATTGATTCGGACTCAGAATCGATAGCCGAGTTACCTCCTAGAAAATGACGCGGCTTTAAAACAACACCTTGTATAAATAAAACTGGATTACGAGAAACTCGAGATATACGAGAAAGGCTGCGCTGATTTGGCAAACTTTGGTCTTGAAATGATGGTAGAAGTTCAAAGAAGGTTTAAAAGCTAAGAATTGAAAGAATGAATTTTTTATTCAGGCTGTACGAAGTTTGCAGTCATAGTTTATTTATAAAGCACATGTAATAGACTATTCGTCCCTTAGATAGGATAATGTA